AGAACAAGAAGAACGAGAAGAACAAGAAGAACAAGAAGAACAAGAAGAACAAGAAGAACAAGAAGAACAAGAAGAACAAGAAGAACAAGAAGAACAAGAAGAACAAGAAGAACAAGAAGAACAAGAAGAACATGGAGAACAAGAAGAACAAGAAGAACAAGAAGAACAAGAAGAACAAGAAGAACAAGAAGAACAAGAAGAACAAGAAGAACAAGAAAAGCGTTAAAGAAAAATGAGGAGCAACGGAGAAGAAGTTCCATAAAAAAACGATACCGATTTCTTCAGACGTGAGACTTACTGTCGATATTTACTGGCAATTTTTCTGTTGAAAAATAAAAATGAAAAACAATTATAAATAAAAATATATATCAAACATAAAATAGTATAAACGTGTTTGCTCACCTCCAAAGATTCCTGTATAGAAATGAGAAACAGTGAGTTATGTTAATAAAAATTGAAATTATAACTTCGACGATATTTTGGTAAAATACTATGAACTTTCGCAAAACTTAAACTGACAACAGCAAATGAAAATTTTACTTACTTTCCTTTGAAACGCCTGAGAGCTTTACTTGCCCTAATTTGCATCAAAGTTTTGATAAAAAAAAATCAATTGATGTTAAAATAAACAACAACAACTACTACACTATCTGGGCTTTATACTATATGCAGTAACGACCGACAACTGCCCTTGCCGTGTTCCAAATGATTAATGGAAAAAATTTGTTTAGTGGGGAAGAAAAAGACATTTTGCCTGAGACAGAAATAAGAAACATATAAAAGCACAATAACAACAGCATCATCAAAAACATCGACAACAACAATAGCAACGACAGCAACAGAAACAAAAACAACAATAGCGACAACAATAACAACAACAACATCAACAACAACAACGACGACGACAACGGCGAAAAAAAAAACCTCTACTTACTTTCTGCCGTAACGTCTAAGGATTCTTCTGACCCTAAGTTAACAATATTGTATTTTTAATAATGTTATGATTCTGTGGGACCCCCCCCCCCCCCCCCCCCCGAAAAAAAAAATGAAATAATATCAACAACAGTAACAACAACAATATCTATACGTACTTTCTGACGTAGCGCCTGATGACCCTTCTTGCCCTAAATAATAGCACTGGCTGTCAATTTTTTTCCGTTGTMATTCAAAATTCGTTTTGGATTAATTTTTAATAATTGTGTGATAATTGCCCTATGGCATAATGACGTCACAGTATGTTTACATTTGGGATAGTTGCACTGCAACATAAGCACAAGCTCCATAAAAAAAGGCTTTAAGAAGAAGACAAAAAGGAAGGTGTTTTTCTCTGTTTATTCCTTTGTCTTTGATTAGCTTGTGCTCTGCTTTATGTTACTTGCTATGCTTATATCGATGTACACTTGACTTCATTCGTTTGTCTTTGATTAGCTTATGCTCTGCTTTATGTTACTTGCTATGCTTATATCGATGCACGCTTGACTTTATTCCTTTGTCTTTGATAAGCTTATGCTCTGCCTTATGTTACTTGCTATGCTTATATCGATGCACGCTTGACTTTATTCCTTTGTCTTTGATAAGCTTATGCTCTGCCTTATGTTACTTGCTATGCTTATATCGATGCACGCTTGACTT